CCCCAAAACCCCAAAACCCCAAAACCCCAAAACCCCAAAACCCCAAAACCCCAAAACCCCGAACATAGGTGACCTTGTTGATATAAGCAAATTTAGTACAATAAATAATAATTTAAAAAGAAATCATGGAGACTGACCAGCCTATGAGTGCTGCCCAGCAACCTGTCAAGAAGAAAAAGAAAAGACCAATGATGAAACTTAAGATTCCAGAACAACATACTACTCCAGAAGAGAACGTGATTGGAGTTGGTGAGGAGAAGAAGGTGGCTGACAGTATTCAGAGTACTGACTCTTACCAACATGTTGTCATTGATAAAGAACAGATTGATATACAAGACGAGATGAACAAGTATGCACCCACTGTGCATGGGAACACCTTCAACCTCAGTAGAGATTTTGCTGAGCAGTCAGTTCCTAATACTTCTACCGCTGATGTATCAATGACTTCAAATTCTTTGTGCAACAGAATCGCAGAATCTTCTTTGGGCTCTGGAACAATGAGCTTTGAAGATATCCAAAAAACTGTGATGCATATTGAGAAGAACTATGGGAATGATACAGAAGCCTCATCGACTATGGAAGAAGAGATTGCTTCCGAGATTGATGAAAATAGATCTTTGTTCGATAATTCTGAGATGTCAATCGACCTTAGTGACTTAAAATGAGTTGGAACTTTAGGGCAAGGCGCTTCTGGTCGTGTGGAGAAATGCTTCCATAAGCCCACTAAAAAGAGAATCGCACTTAAAGTAATTCCAGTAGATGCATCTACTGCTGTGAAGAAGCAGCTCCTTCTTGAGCTAAAAACATTGCATGAATGTGAAAGTGATTATATTGTGAAATCTTATGGAGCCTTCCTCAAATCTGGAAATGTCAACATTGCACTAGAGTATATGGATGCAGGGTCTCTAACCTCAGTTCTGGAGGTTGTGGAGAAAATCCCTGAAGACATTTTAGGGCTTATGACCATCCAAATGCTCAAAGGGCTCCATTACCTTCATAAAGAAAAGAAGGTCATTCACAGAGATATTAAACCTTCTAATATCTTGTTGAACAAGAAAGGGCAAGTTAAGATTGCTGACTTTGGTGTATCTGGAAAGATTGAAAAGACACTTGATTGCCTTTCATCATGGGTCGGAACAATGACCCATATGTCTCCTGAACGTCTTAGAGGTGAAGCCTACTATGCAGATACAGATATCTGGAGTTTAGGCTTGATCTTACTTGAATGCGCCCTAGGTAAATTCCCGTTCAGGATAGACGATGAGATTAATAATGAAGCTGGCTTCTGGAAAATTCTTAGTTGAATCGAAAACAGTGAACCTTGCGAACTTCCAGATGGGTTCAGTGAAGAGTTCAGAGACTTTATTAAAATATGTCTTGAGAAGATACCAGGTATGTAAAAATTTCTTTCACCATTCTATTATTGATTAATAAGCTAAATCTCTTTTAAATTTGTCAAAGAGAGTGCTTCTTTTTGATACCTACAATTATCCAATTATTTATAATACTTCTTGTACTCTAGTACTTTATCTAACTTTACAGAATTTATCTTGACATATAGGATCGAGACAAAGTGCAGCTGAGTTACTAGAGCATAAATTCTGCGAGAAATATGATGGAATGGACAACAGTTTATTCAAAAGATGGATCAAGACTACCTGCTAATTTTATCTTTGATGCATTACTTACCCATAAATTATTCTTGGTGTTTCAGTTTAGTATACTTATACGGGGTTTTGGGGTTTTGGGGTTTTGGGGTTTTGGGG